AGGTTCAAGCTGTTGCCTGTATTCCTCTTTTCTCAGTCATGTTCTACATTTCCCATCTGAACTACTATCTAAATCTTTTCCTGTTTTAATTTCCTTTGGCAGCATCAACTGCTGAGACCTTCTCTTCTTAAACCGGAGGTATCGATTTTCACTTTCTTTTCAACCTCACTAAACCTTTACAGTACTTTTATACTTCTGTGGCTAGAGTGGGTGGCCTCTGATGCGGTCCCCTTTTTACTAATGAGAGAAAATGCACTTTCAAGTTTAAATAACTAAACAAATTTAAAAAAAAAGAAACCACCTCTCAATTGCTTGCTAGTGACTATAGCTACAAATTTTTAGCTTCCCTCTAGGACAGCGGTTCTCAACCTATGCTAGCCCTTTGGGGGTCAAATGACTCTTTCACAGAGGTCACCTAAGACTATCAGAAGATGCAGATACTGGATTGGAGAGATGGCTTAGTGGTTAAGAGCACTGATTGCTCTTCCAAAGGTCCTGAGTTCAATTCCCAGCAACCACATGGAGGCTCACAAGCATCTGTAATGGAATCTGATGCCGTCTTCTGGTATATCTGAAGAGAGCAACAGTTTACTCACATATATAAAATAAATAAATCTTTAAAAAAAGGTGGAGATATTTACATTATGACTCATAACAGTAGCAAAAGTACAGTTATGAAATAGTGACAAAATAAGTTGATGGTTGGGGTCGCCACAACATGAGGATCTGCACTGGGAAGGTTGAGAACCACTACTCTAGAATTTAGGCCAGTAAATCATTGTTGCCCCAACTTTTCCATTACTGCCTGAAGCCACTTCCTGGCTGAGCAAGAGCTGGAGTTCATCTGAATGTGGTCTCATCAGCTGGATCAGGCAAAGATGGAGGGAAGGTTCCAACATCTGGGAAGGTTCCCTAGTCCATGCATGACTCAGTGCTTCTCCGACAAAGCAAAAAGTACTTTCAGAGTTACACGATAAATACACATCACTTTATTTATTTATTATATACCCCTAAGCCTAAAATGAGTATAAAGTAATACTCAGTTGAAGTAATTCTATTCTTTGTGATAAATTTAGGCTTTTGCTAAGCATTAATAAACAATTGGTTCTTTTCTCTAGGAACAATACCCTACTTTACTAAAGGAAAGCATTTCTTGTTTAGAATACACACACACACATCATCATCATCATCATCATCATCATCTGGAGACCGGAAGCAGAAATATATAAATTTGCAATTAAGCTTTTAATTAGAAACTCTTATCGAGGAAATTTCCAGAGAACTGACTTAGAAAACTCAGGTTTACAGTTCATATGCCCACACTGCCTTGAGCAAAATATTCTCCCAACCAGCACTATCACCTACAAATGCTGATCATGAGCTTCTGATCAACGAGCATAGAGAAGCCAAGAAAAATGGAACTGAAATTTTTCTGATTTATAGTACTTTGAACATTTACTACAGTAATAAGAGTCTACATTAGCTTCACCTTCTCAGAAATGTGTAGTCAGCAGCAGACATTAACCTTAAAGTAATGTTAAGTATTGGGCCCATTCACACAATCGTTTTCTGGTCCAACATCTAGGGATGCAGATAAGACCTGTGTCATGCAATGGAAAGGTCAAATCCAGTCACCTGCTTAGCTCAGTCCTGGGGTCTTTGTTGACACAAGGACTTTCCTCTATTCCTTTTCTTTTTAAACACTTGACACTCTGCTCTTCTTTCCCATTTGTGCCGATTCCTAGCTGACCTAGCTCAGAACTGCAGGGTACCACCCCCACCCCTCCACCCCCCGATGCACTCCAGGGTTCCTGTTTTGCTCCCTTCTAACCTTGACCATATTGGAAGCCATTTATGCTGGGAACATACAGCAGCTCACAAGACCTGAGCCTTAGTCTTAGGAATCAGAAAGTGCAGGTATATGAACTAATCGTTACTAAGACTACATTTAAAACAGCTTTGGAGGTTTCTTCTCGGTGTCTTGTATGTATTCTACTAGGCATGCATTGATTATCAGAGCAAATGCAGCATTTCTGAGATGTTTGCTTTACGTAAACCAATTTAATGGTGCTTTTAGTCCCTTAAAAGTCTGCACTCACCAGCGGGAAGCATACATGTTTTTCAAAGTCACTTACATCTGGGCTTTAACTTGGTTCTAATTTCTTACCGCTCTTTCTTAAGTTTATCTTATACTTCCCCTTCCTAAAACGGAAATTTTTGCTGAACGAAAACCTACGGCTACGAAATAAATATAAGCCACTCAGATGAAAATTTCAAGAGTGCACTCTCGGCCATCACTAGCACGAGTTAATGGTCATGGTGATTCCCCTCGTCCTAAGTGCTTACCTGCACCTGCAGATCACATCATTTCTGAGTGCCTGTAAGTGGGATATCACAGTCCATTCCATCCACCCTTGACCTCAGCCTATTTGCCCACCCTGTGCTGCGGTGCTGCTACAGGGGATTGATTTCTTGAACTTTCCTATTGGTTCTGACTTTGTACTGTTACAGACAATCGACTGTGGCATACATTTTCCAAACGTATACTCCCCTGCCCTAGAATTTTATGGCCACCGACTGCCCACTGTCGATAGTAACATGTGACATTGCTGATTTAAAAAAAGAAAAAAAAAACATGTATCCTAATAGATATGTCAAGTGAGTTTTAACATCACAAATGAATTGGTTTAAAAAAAATATTTGTAAGTTGCGAAGTCAGTGGGCATTATATTAGTGTCGAACGGCAATCGCAAACTTGGTGATTATGGGAGCCTGACTGGAAAATGTCCATGAAGAAACTTCACGAAGAGAGAGCAAAGCAGGAGGCAGATTGCAGGTTGGCTTTGACTACAGATGTAGAGCAGTACAGTAGAGGAATAGTAACCAAACCTCATCGGAGGCAGGAACCACCACAGGGAATCTTGGAATGTACAAAAGTGTCATGCCTTGGTTTTTCAAGAGAAACCCCAAAATCCCAGATTTTTGGTAGAATTCTTTGGTTAGGGTTAACCACAATTAATCCTTTTAAACAATTTGGCAAGTTGTGACATAACTTAGAGTCATTGTCCATATTTATCACACAGATGACTCGTGTGATAAATTTGTGTGCCTTAGAAATGGTCCCTCTCTGCCATCACAGATCGGCAGTAGCTCCTGACTCAAGCCACACACACATGTGTAAGACCAGTTCCTATCACGAGTGGATTATCTGTATGTACCAACCTACTTCCCTGTGGATGGTTATGCTTTCCCTCCTCCTCTCTTACTCTATTGTAGAGCCAAACTTCTTAATCTTTGCCACCTCTCGTTATTAATACAATGGAGTTAAAAAGTGTGGGGGGAATGATTTAATCGCCACTGAAGCTGTTCTTGTATATGTACCTCAAAGCACAGTTCCCTCTAAGAGCAGAGCTTAAGGAAAGCCGGTCTTGTCAAGAGTCAGAAGAAGTCTTCATAGGGTATAAATACAAGGATGTATTTAAAACATCTTTAACCCCAGAATGAGCACTGAACTGAGGATCTTGTTACTGTGCGAATTGCTATTGGAGGATGTACAGAGTTTGATGAGGGAGCTCTTGGTAACAGAGAACCATCAGTAGAGAGAGAATAAACAAAGCCACTGTGACAATGGCCTCATACACTGGCCAGTCAATAAGCGACGATGACACTTAATGTTGATTACGTTAATCTCCAAAGTTCCCTAAAAGCAAGTAAAACTACTCGCCTGAAAATGTCTACAGTTTTATAGCCAGGAAGACTGTGCTTTTCCATTTACACGTGATCTAATGACCAGTGGGTTCCAGGAGAACAGCTGAAAATGGAACACAGGGAACGTGTTAACTGACACTTGTCATTTAAACTTACTCTGTCAGGAGTGTTTGGAGGGATACAAGCCATAGGTATGGAAATCTCGCTTAAAACAGAAATATGCGAAGAATGTATTCAAAAATGCCAATTTTTCTCTTTGAACAATAGGAGTTATCCATGGAATCTGGGATTGATCCTGGCCAGGAATATGGACAAGATTATTACAGTTATGAGCATGGGTACTTCTTCAGTTTTTCTTTCAGAATTGTATCGTATTCATTTTTTTTAAAAAAAAATTCATCAGAACTTATTATTGTTATTAGTTTTTTAAAGTGTCATTGGCCCCTTGATATTTGAAAATGCTGTGCCTGATTTTTTTTTATATTAGTCAAGTTCTCATCACTTTGCTGTCTCATTTACCTTGCTTGTATTTCTAGAAATGTGCTCAGGTGTTTCATCATAATTAGGATGGCACATAGAAGTCAAACATGTTTGCTCAATTCCTGAATACACCATTTATTCTGGATGCTGTGTTTTGTGGGCTTTTATTTTTTCTAACTAGTCTACCTGAAGTTTTGTGCCAGAGCAGTGAAAAAAAAAATAAAAACATAAAATATACCTTTGAATCTAGTAACAAGTACGACAAGGGAGCATCAACTCTGTACGCCTAAGCTAACCACCTTCAGAAACACACGGGATGAAAATGCCATGCAGGCTCTGTTCCTTCCATACCAACTTTCATGTAAAAACATAGATTTCACATCCTGTGTGAGATGCAGACTTGTATATAAAGTCTCTCTTGTGTCCTCTGTTCTCCATGTAGCTATGAAGTATTACATCTTTCTTTTTCCTTCCTCTAGTCTCTCCCTAAATTTAAATGTGAAATAACATCTCCCTTCCTTGTTATTACAGGGAGCCATTATGTCAATAGTAATAATAATAATATAATATAATATAATATAATATAATATAATATAATATAATATAATATAATATAATAATAATAATAATAATAATAATAAATTCTCTGGCTGTCAGGTAGTGGTTCTTAATATGTAGTTTTATTTTTTTTTTTAATTTTTAGAAGGAACTTAATAGACCCTAAGTATCTGTTGATGATGAAGAAAAAGAAGAAACAGATCATTATGGTAGATTCTATGAAAAATGTCTCAAGTTACAAGTTTATGTTGCAGGTATGAGATGCCCCAGTATGGAAGTCGCCGCCGACTGCTGCCACCTGCTGGACCGGAGGAATACGGTGAAGTCATTGGTGAAGCTGAAGAATATGAAGAGGAAGAGGTAAGTGACTTTGTCATGACATGTCATGCAAAAATAGCTCTGGTTTGACTAATACACTGTCAATTATTCCAACTGTAGAAACTCCTAGTAATTTATTATTTGTTTTTCAAAGAAAGGTAACAACGCTGACCATTTCAATTTCTTACCTATGGAGACAATTCATTAAATTTTTTTTCAGTTTATTTCCTTCTATATGAAAGATTAGATACCTGGAAGAAGTCACAATAGAATAGGCTTTCTAAAATCACGAATGCCTCTCTATAAAGACAGTATTAAGAACCATATATGTTATAAATTTTACAATACATGGGTACTTTTGTTCTTGTCCTATCTGTATAACTAAAAAAAAACATGAAAAATACAGTCTTCATATTCCATTTTCATAGAATAAAGTATCATCACCAACATTTTTTAAATGTTATATTGATTCATTTCTGAATTAACATGAATCATGTCTTTCAAATTTATTTGGCAAACAGTCCTTCCCTCCATGAAATGACAGTTCCTGAAGCCCTAATTGGTTCAAAATTCGACAAGACAGATTTTTCATAAAGTTTCAAATTAACTAATATATTTCCATGACTTTTAAAAATTCTGAGATACAGCAGAAAGCTAACAAGCCAGACTCTATAGGTAAAGATAATGATTATTTCTTTCCTGAGCTAAGATTAAATAAAACAAAACTAAATAGCAGAAAACAGAAAGCATTAAATTTGGGGTATGAATACTATAAAGCCAAAATAAATTGCCTGTTGGCTAGCTTCTGTATATTATCAGAAAAGAATATTGTCATATTTTTTGGAAACTATATACGTAGCTTGCATGAGGCTTTTACCCAAAAGATACGCTTATGCTTAACTTATGAGGGACAAGATCACGTCATAACTATCTCCGAGCTAACATTTGAATTGCACTCTCAAAACTTTCAGGTAGAGCCAGAGAAAGTTAAAAAACCCAAAGTTGAAATTAGAGAGCCTAGTGAGGAAGAGGTGGTGGTCACCGTTGAGAAGCCACCAGCCGCTGAGCCCACATACCCAACGTGGAAGAGAGCCCGAATATTCCCAATGATTTTTAAGAAAGTCAGAGGTCTCGCTGAGAAAAGAGGCATTGACCTGGAGGGCGAGGAGTGGAGGAGACGCCTTGAGGAAGAAGACAAAGACTATCTCCAACTGACTCTAGACCAGGAGGAAGCTACAGAAAGCACTGTGGAGTCAGAGGAGGAGTCCAGCGACTACACAGAATACACAGAGACAGAGTCCGAGTTCAGCGAGTCCGAGACCACGGAAGAATCAGAGTCGGAGACCCCATCTGAGGAAGCAGAGGAGAGCTCTACCCCAGAGTCAGAGGAGTCTGAGTCCACTGAGTCAGAGGGAGAGAAGGCAAGGAAAAACATTGTGCTAGCTAGGAGGAGGCCTGTGGTAGAGGAAGTCCAGGAGGTAAAAGGTAAGCGAGAGGAGCCGCCTGTAGAGCAGGAAGAAGAGCCGCCGGTGGAGGAGGAAGAACGGCCAGAGGAAGGAGAAGAAAGCGAACTGGCTCCTATGGATGAGTCCACAGACCTGGAGGCTCAGGATGTCCCAGAGGAGGGCAGTGCAGAATCAGCCTCCATGGAGAGGGGCGTGGAAAGTGAGGAGGAGTCGGGGTCAGAACTGAGCAGTAGCAGCAGCAGTACCAGTGAGAGTCTCTCCGGAGGCCCCTGGGGCTTCCAGGTACCAGAATATGACAGAAGGAAGGATGAAGACCCCAAGAAATCTCCAGGCGCAAACTCCGAAGGTTACAACACAGCCCTTTAGAAGAGTGCATAGTAGGTGGGGTTTTGCGGTGGTGTGTGCTCCTGTGTGCAGTGCCTTCTGTGTGGTCTTCTCTCTGAAACGGCTCTCGACGGGGTGGGGACTTAGCATGATTTGACTCTCTTCACTCAGGATTAGAAGAAAGATAAGAAAACGACTCCATATGCTACCTACGTAGATGTGCATGCTGAGACACGGTAGATCCAACCTGTCTAACTCTCTCTTAGACTAGCAAACAGGGAAACATCGATACTGACTATAAAGTGGCATTATCAGTGGCATTTGTCTATAGCAATGGAAAATACACATATAGATGATAAATAGGCAGAGTTGATACTAGACAAAGAGCAGCAAATTATATGAACAACTCTTTCTGATTATTTTTTGTTCCCTGTAAAGCTGCCAAGTGAAAGATACACTGTATCAACTCCCGCCTTCAAATTCTAGGAGTTAAATGAAACCGTATCCTGAAACTTAAAAGTGATTACCCTTTAGGTGGTGGTTAAAAACTATTTTAACGGTCACAGCTTTTCTTCTAGGTAAATAAACACCATTATTTAAAATATTTATACAGAGACCAGAAAACATTGCCTATTCAGTACAAAGAGGACGTCTATATTCCCCCTGTGTTATATTGTTTGGGGAAGAAAAAAAAATAAGTAGTGTTGTTGAAGTTTTGCTCTTCATCACTTCTGATATTGGTTGGTAAAAAGACAGCTGAATCAGCGGAAATGTCATTATGTTCCAGTTGCTTATACAAAGAGATGTTCTGTTTTCTGTAGTAATAAGCACTCTCTTTGGGCTAATACATTCCTTTAAGTAAATGGAGTTTTAGCGAGATGACCCAGAATACCATGATGCTTCAACTGATTGCACACGTCAAAATGGACAAACATTTTGACTAACATGAGGAAGTAGATTATGGATTCAGAAATATTTTTAAAATACTGGAAAGAAGAAAACGTTAACATGGATACGATGTACAAATTCTGTTCCTGGTTTTTCTGCTGAACTTGCTGAAATGGTTGAGCAGCCAATAAAACAAGGAATTGGGACTTAGCAAAATACAGATAATGTGCCTCGTGTTTCCTATTAGGTCTACTTCCAAACTCAGCAAGAGTTTATTCAAAGATGCTTAGACTCTGGATCCAATACGGAGTTGGAGAAAGGATAGTGAGACGGAAACATGCCTCTTTTCCCTCTTGAGAATGTACTATTGCCACCTCTCCGGGTCTTGCTGTGGATTGCACAAAGCCTTTGATTTCCTTTGAGAATGACTAGCGTATTGTTATTCTTTGTTTTCTCAGTGGGCAAGAAAAAGAATGATCAAGTTGGTGGTCGATCGGGAGTACGAGAGCAGCTCCGCTGGGGAAGACAGCGCCCCTGAGTCGCAAAGAAGCCGAACTCACGAGCCCAGGGGCCACAGCAATGTCAATGGCAACATCTACATTGCGCAGAACGGTTCCGTGGTGAGAACGCGCCGTGCCTGTGTCGCTGATAACTTGAAGGTGCCCTCCCCTGTGTTGCTTGGGAGGCATCTGAAGAAAATAGACAAGATGGCAGGGACACGTGAGGAGAATGTGCCCCTGAACACACTGTTCAAGGGGCCATTTTCCACAGAGAAAGCGAAAAGAACCCCAACTCTGGTCACATTTGCTCCCTGTCCTGTGGTGGCTGAGCACTCGTCAGTGAAGCCATCGGGGACCAGGCTGAAAACCACAGCTGAGCAGAAGTCCATGGTAGACAGTAGGCTCTCTAGAGAGTCGATGGAATTCCACGGTGACAACACACCATCAGATGAGGAAGAGCTCTGGATGGGTCCGTGGAACAGCCTCCATATACCAATGACAAAACTCTGACCAATAAAAATAATAATAATAATAACTTAGTTTTTACTTGTTTTTAATGAACTCTGCTTTTTATTGTCACAAAAAAAAAAATCGACATATGGGGTTTATCACATGTGCACAACCTAACACGTCGAGTGATCTGCTTTACAATAAAAAGAAAGAGATATCATTTGTATCGATGAATTGTTAGCCCCAGAAAAACCTTTATGGACAGACTGAATTCACTAAATAACATCACTTCAAAGTCCGGTTGTTTAGTTGCATCTTAAATTAGGGTTTTTTTTTCCATTGAAATCAACAAGGACTAACTTAGTAGAAATCATTTTTTTTTTTTTTTTGCTTAACATAGATTATACTCCATTTCTAGATTGACAGCACATTTTTCGGCACATGTCATTTTATTTTCTACGGGGGTAACGGATTTTTATAGGTACGAGATTTATACAGCTACTGTCTGTACTGCGCTGACTTTATAAAAGAAAATAGGCTTAGAAAGCAGCGGGTACGGGTGGAAATCACTTGTAAGTTATTTTTAATCCTGAAGTTACTTTATATAGTATCCAACAATGTAGTTTTAAAGATTTTTGAAGGCATACTTTTGGCCTTAGGACGAACATTCGAGGTCAAAGCTTTTGTAAAAAAAAAAAAAAAAAAAAAAACTGAACAAAAAAAACCCATAATTTACAGTTTTACCTGGTGCACACACACCCCCATGTGTCTGCACACATTCTGTGTGTTTCACATGTAGCAAATAATTTAAAATAATTTAATAAATTTTGCAATTCAGTAAGTGGAGCAACATATAAACCTCACTCTCAACAAAAGCTTAGTGAGGGGTAGAGCGGATCAAGTAACTAAAAATGCTTCTGGAACCCATGTTCAGTGGATGACGCAGCAAGGCAGAGAAGTCTCGCCTCACGTGACCAGACAGGAATACCTTATAAGTCCGGCATAGGATATGTCAGGGTCATGGACTTATACAATTTGTTAAATGCCTATGTATACAGGCTGCGACTCCACAGCTTCACTGAGCTGGAGCACCTAACTTCTCGCAGCTCTTGTTTATTTGTAGATAAAGTTAGGGCACATATTTATGTGTTATGGTCCAGAGCCAGAAAACAACTATCTGCACATTGGTTTTAATCAAAGAACACAGCCTTCGTTTTTCCACCTCGGAACAAAAAAACACAGCGTCTTGCCATTAATAGGAACGAAACAAAATAACCTTTAAAACATTGCCTTGTGTGTTGCCTGTCCTGACGCCTTAGAAAGGATGACCGATGTAGGTTAAGGGACTTCAGAATTTATTTGAACATATCTTAGTGTGATGTAGATATGTTTCACTTCAAATTTTGCCTTGTATTGAGCGAGTTCATATTTCAATTAAATTCCTTTGGCCATGCTTATTATGTGGTTGAACTGAACAGCGCGTAATTGTTTATTTACTGCCTTTACCTGGTTCAAATGTTATAATGGTTTTTGCAATGTTGTTTTTCTTATTTACAAGGCGGAGGGAATTATGTTTACTGACTCATCAATTTCTGTGACTAGTATGTTTTTATTTCAGATATCTGAACGTACTTGGACATCTCATTGTTTTGAGAATTAATTCCTTTTTATACCCTTAGAAAACCCATCAGCATTAACAGTAATGTTAGCAATACAGAATCCTGTCCACGCCCGCAGGCTTATTAACAAGGATGTACATCTCCATAATATCGAAGATGGCTTGTATGTATACTGAAGTTTATGAAGCAATGATGTACAGCCAGTCCTTCAGGCACCAAAGCAATTATTTTGTTACATAAAATATTTTAGATAGATCTCAAATTAAGCATTCATACTTCCCTACTAGCTCAGTCACTGATCACTTAAATATAATTTAATATTTTTATGACATTTCACAGTAATGATTACTAGCCTCACTTAGTATTCTTTTGTACATAGAGATCTGTATAATTTTTTTCTTCCTTTAGCTTCTGGATGTAAAATTTAACTTATCTGCTGCTGTTCCTATCACGGCTGTCTTTTCTTTCTTTAGAGCCAAGGTTTCTTATGTTCTGATAAGGAAGTTTGTAGCGTTTCGTTTTGATTATTGCTATTGGAAACAAAATAAACTTGAGATGGGGGTTAAGATAAGAGAACTTCGCAAAAGCTGTGTGGATCTCGGGAAATTTCTGTGACCACTGTTAAGATATGAGCAGGGTTCTGAAGATCAGTGTTTTGCCGAAGGCCAATGTCGTAACATGATAGAAAACACAGTATTTTCAAAATATTGCACTGTGAGACAATATGCAGCTATTAAAACCGGGGGGGGGGGCCATTCATATTTCAGCACTTACAAGGCGATCATTTTGATATAAATGATCTAGAAGCTAATCTATTCCTGGGGTGCGATAAAGATGAGCGGCCTTGATGTGGAACAACCAAATCAAATATTTGGTTTGTATATTTGGAGGAAAGAGACAGCCCTAAAACTCTGGCTGAATAAATATGGATTAACTGAGTCACTACACTCAAATGGGACTTTGAATAACCTATGAAATCCCAACTCGTGATTAAAACTGCAGAACACAGAGGAAATACGTAGGTGCAGTTAATCTTAAAAAGAATTGACATAGATAGCATTTACTTGTAAGTATATATAAGGAAATTTGTGCCTGATTTTCCTAGAAGGGCATAGGAAGTTTCTTTTGCTTTTGTTCTTTATAAACACCAGCCTTCAGTAAAGAAGAAAAAAAAATAAACCCTGCAGCTCCCAATGAACCAACATACACAGCAAAGACCATCACAGTCCTGTTGTGACCGGTGACTTCAGAAGCCTTGTAGACACAAAATTCCAGGAAGAAGCAAAGCAGTCAGTGTGGCAAGGTATTGGTTACTAGGTGACCATTGGCCCACAGTGTCCTCCAAGTCTCTAGATTTATTCTCGTTGATTAAAAACCACAAGAGCTGTCAGAGAATTCCAACTGAATAGCATCCCAAAGGACCTTCTTAAAGTACAGGGAAAGGCTTTCCTGAGGTCCCCACTGTTGTTAAAACATGTTGTTTGCCCTCTGTGGGTCTTCCAAAGAGTCACTGAAGCTACGATCAAAATGTTGCCGATAACATTTATGCATCCGAGAGCAAGAAGTCATTGGATATTGATTCATGAAAGGAGCCATCATCTTTCTTCCTTTCATGAGTCTTCTTTAATCTCTTGTTCTGCTTTATTTATTCTTTGCCTTACACTTTACACAATATGTAGAACTTCCAACACTACTTCAGTTCACTCGTGAGATGGGCAGAAAGCGCTAAGACTCTATTCTCAGGGCAGATGCCTCCTGTGCCTATAAATACCACAGTGGTGCATCTGAGGGGTTAAGTTCCAATAGTATCCAGGACTCTATTTCCTATAGAAGGTTTCTCCCTATTACAGGGTGATCACATGAATTCCTTATTGTGTTTCTCTCTTGTTTTAGCATTAGCCGATTCTGTTCGCTTTGGTTTTTCAATTAAAGTCTAGTAAGTTTATCGTAAGTTAAGCACATGTATGAAGAATGTGAGTGTTGTCTAAAAGTTTGTGAAATTATCAGGACGCTTTCCCAATTTCTTTACCCAAACGCCTGTTCTTCCTTTAATGTTATGTTATAGTATGAAGAAAATCTAGTATAAAGTCTGGGTGAAAGTACATTGTTATATGATTACACAATGTTTTACAAATAAATTTCTATTTGAGAAAGATGTCTCATCATTCTGCCAGATACAGATAACATCAGCAATTCTTTTTCCATTTGCACGCACAACTCAATTTTACTATTAAAAAGTAAAAAGATTTATCTGTCAGCTCTTATCTTCAAAAACTGTAGGGAAGAAAGATGAATGCTTTAATGTTAATTCCCACCATTCTTTAAACCATGTGTCCATGAACCTGTATTCTAGACAGAGTAAGATGGTGTTTCCTAACATACCACCTACTTTTTCCTGAAAATACTTTTATAATCTCATAAACAATTGGGTTTTCATGTACATTCAGTGTTTGTTGAGATGCTAAATTACGGAACTGTGTCAAGAAGCAGAGCCAACATGAAGTTTTGTTCTACACATTTCATACTATTGGATTTGTTTCAAAAACTCGTGGCTTGCAACCCCATAGGAAGAACAACATCAACCAGACCTACCAAAGCTCCCGGGGACTAAACCACCAACCAAAGAGTACACATGGGGGGACCTATGATTGACTTAACAGGCATCACTGGAAGGGGAGCACCTTGGTCCTGTGGAGGCTCGATGACCCAGGGTAGGAGAATGCTAGGATGCTAAGGCAGGAGTGGGTCAGCAGGTGGGAGAGCACCCTTGTAGAGGCAGGGGTAGGGGGTGTTGTGGAGGGGAAACTGGGAAGGGAGATATTTGAAATGTAAATAAATAAAATAACCAATTAAAAACTCATGGTTTTATTTATCAACTACTTGCCAAATATCTGCTGGCCTATCTACATTTCTATTATCCATCTACCATCTACCTATCATCTATATAATCATCTACCTTCAATTTATCATTGATCATCTATCACCTACGCATGATTATCTGTTTATCCACTTATCTATCAGCTATCTCTCTCATATATCCATCTACCTACAACCTAATATCTAACACCTGTACCACCTATCTACCTATCATCTACCATCTAGAACACATGTATATTTCTTATTTATTTACATTTCAAATACAATTCTGTATTACATTTCATATATATATATATATATATGTACACATATATATGTATATATATATCTATACATATATATATACATATATATACATATATACATATACATATGCATATATATACATATATTCTGTATTGCATTATGTGCCAGCTACCTATCTATCTGTTATCTCTTTATCATCCGTCTTTCCATCTTTATCCATCTGAAACTTAACCTGATTTCCCTGTACATTTGGAGCTTGTCTAACTGTCCGATGTTGGTGAAACATAAAACTCTCCCCTGTCTTTAATAAATCAGGTTCACTGTGGATAAATATTCTAACCCTGCCCCTGTCTTAGCCCCTGGAGTAGCCTTGCCCCTCTGCCCTTCTGTTCTCCTCTAGAGTGGAACCTCATTGATCACTACCTGCCAAGTGCTCGGTGAACCTCCTAGCATAAGCAAAAGCCAGTGAGGGGCAAGGGTGTTAAAGAAAAGTAGATTCCTCCATCATAACAGCCAACACGATAGCCTCCGATTCCCCAGTTTACAGTTCACCCCATGGGAAAAAGGAAATAGCACTCTTCAAAATTAAAAAATAAGGTTGTTTTCCATAGTCTTCACAGATCTGTACAAATGTTAGGACTGACATATATATACTGGTATACTATATATATACTGGTCCTAGGGTGGTATAACGTCTGTGAGGCCAGGGGACTATTTAGAGGTATGTCCAAACCATGCCTCACTTCCACTACTCGAAACATACTTGAGTAATGATTGAATGAGCCTAGGATCTCTGGGTTTGAAATTGAGTTTTAAATAAAAATATAACCCACATCTAGGTTTTTCTTTCCCCCTATCCTCAATGAGCACTGAGTGATGGCATTTGGGAAATACCAACATCTAGTGATTTGCATGTCCTGATCTGATTTCCTTCTTATTCCTCATCAAGTCGATCTGACTTGCTCTCTTCCAAGTGACCCCG